ATATATATAAAATTTTAAAAAATTGTTTTGTTTCATTTCTGCCTCAGAAGAGCCAAGGGAAGTTTAACTGGGGTCTGCAATAGGTTGGGCAGAAGGAGTGCTTTCTGCTCTGGGAGAATGCACATTGCATGCAACATAAGCTAGATTTAAAATAAAAAAACACTGAATCTGCTGTGCTGTTACTTGAAAAGAAGGAAGTGTTTGTGCAAATGGTGGGTGGGAGCAAACCTGGATGTGGAATGCAAACCCCAGTGCTGCCTGGCGCAGCCCTGGCCGATGGGACCGTGCTGGTCCTGTGCTATCGCAACAGCAGCTTGAGCTGGAGTGAGAGCGTGGAGCGAGTCCAGCACTTGCCTGCATGACAGGAAGGGTAGGGAGCAATACGGGGCTCTCGTTTTATGGGGAGCCTGGTGAATGGCTAGTGTGCTTTTCTGTGCAGCTTTACTGCGCATTGCTAAGCAGTGTGTATGGAAGCAGAAGGTACAGCGTTACCCTAAGAGGTGGACAGGTGCTCCCCTCCTGCTCGTATTTACTGCTGCCTGCTTCTTTCTTTGATGATGGTGACTAATACTTCATCAATGCCTGGGTTATACTGGCTCTATTTAGGACTTTCTGCCTGTTGAGTGACAGCAGGATGTGTGAGCAAGCTGAGACGCCCAGACCTTTTCTGGCAGGATTGTTAGGGCAAGAAAATACTCTGGAAACCACAATGTGAATCATTTGTCTATCCAAGTGGATGACACTATGCCCCAGCCACGCCGCTTTGCAGTCAGACCTGTGCAGTGGGGTCAGTATGTCCAGACCAGCTCCCTGGAGTCCTGAAAACCTACAGGACAGGCTTAATGTTAAAAACATGAAAACCCAAGCGTGCATGCCCTGCTGTGCACTCATCGACATGTTTGTGGAAAGGGACCCGTGAGTGCATGGTGCCTGGCTAGCAGAGAAGGGCTCAGACAGGGCTGGCACACCTCCTTTCTGGGGCACCCTCTCTTTCCTGGCGGTTTCTGCTCCCTGCCATGTTTCACAGGGCAACGATGTCCCTCCTCGGCACTTGTGCTATACCTTGCACCACTGGTGTGCTTAATCACTTGGGCTTGTGTGGACAAAGAGGGGCTTGGGGAGGAGATGGGAATTGTCAAGGTCATATGGCTAAAGCCAGCCAAGAAACCAAGAAGCAGCCCTGTCTTCTCAGCAAGCGTTGTTCCCCAGCCCAGCCCATCCCTGCTGCGCTGGCCTAGGAGGCCACAGATTCAAACAAAATGGCCTTTTTATTACAGTCTGCTCTGGGGAATCACCAAAGGCTTTGCAGAGTGAGCTGTGCCATGAAATGCTTCTCCAGAAAGTTTCATGGTGAAGCTTCATGAACAGCAGCAGGGCTGGGTCTTCCTCCTCTTTTCTGGCCAAGCTTTCTCCCTTCCACCTCCTCCAGCCCGTGCCTGTTGTCGTAACGCAAGCACACGTGCATTTGTGTGTGGGAAACATTTTGACGGCCGAGTGTCCATCCCTACTCTCCGCATGCCTCTGCAATACTGTCAAACCGCTGCTGAATTGCAGCCGCCTCTGGGGTGGGACGTGGCAGCTGCTGACATTGCACAGCAATGCTATTCCGCCTTTTAAGACAGGGAGCAAAGGTTACCGTTTCTAATTGAAATATGAGGGTATGCTGGGGGAAGTAGGAAATGACTGCCGGGTGGGAGGGTGCCAGCGCTTTGTGCAGGGAACTAGAAAGGAATGAGAATGGTTAATGGTGCAAACTCTACGTGCATTGCCAAAAATGAACTCATGACTGTAAATATTACACTGCGCGCAGCAAGATTAGCACAGGAAAATACCAGTTGTTAGGGTTCCTGTTACCATCTGAATTATGCAAACAATTTGCTTGAGTTTATAGATGAGCTGGGGCAGAATAACGTCGGGTTTTTCCTAGCCAAAGTGTTTCAGTGTGCTAGTATTTTAGCACATTTCCCAGCCTCAATCTGCTACATAAGTGGATCCATGCTGTGATCTTTTGGGACAGCATGCTGTCAAGTGTGGCCTTTTCCAGGCCACGTTAGAAACTCGGAGATGTCAGGATGCTGGTGAGATGCTGACCTTGCGCATGTGCTAACGCGGGGGCCCCGAGATGAGTGCAAAAGCCCAGGGAGTCACCGAGCCCGGTGCTGGGGCTGGAGGCTGTGCGTGCCCTGCCACGTGCGTGTGGTCAAGGAGCTCTCGGGACCTCTGCAAGTGGGAAGCAGAGATGTTCCCAGTTCCTGGCTGTAGCAGGGCCACTCAGGCTGAAGATGCCAGTTGCTGTTTGGAGGCCAGACGCCACCACGATGGGCTCTGTGAAGGAATGGTAAACATTGGCTCTTCCCAGTGGCTGTCAGGGAGGTTAACTGACTTTCCCACGGCCATGCAGTGAGTCAGTGTCAAGGCGGGATTAGCAGCGGGGTGTCCCTGGCCCCCGGCCCTGAGCCTGCGCCGCCGGTGGCTGCATAACCCGGAGCACGCGCGGCTGTGGAGCTGCCGCAGCCTGCGCAGCCCCGTGGGAGCAAGCCCTGAAACAGCGCTCCCTTTGCTCCCTGTCGTGACTTGGGTCGAAATAGGTCGGTTGGAGCTGCGGAGCTGGGGTCTTCCAGGGACCTTCATGAACACCTGAGTAAAATGGAGAGAGTCACCAGCCAGTGCTGGGGAATGAGCCCAGCCAGAGTGTTAGATGCTAGGGAAGCCCTGTCGTTATGAAACCTGGCTTTCCAAGTGCTGATGTTCAGGGACTTGCTCACTTTGGACTGTTAATGCTTTGAGCTTCCTTAGGGTAAAAGCTGGGGAAAGACCAGGTATGGTAGTTTTGCTGGCAGTAAAACTTCAGCATGACCCTCATGTTGAAAGCAAGTCTAACCCACCTGTGAACGTATCTTCTGGTACTTCTGTGGGCTCTCAGCTGGGTTCCTAGCGGTACAACCCACGTCCTTTCTGGGCCAGGAGACAGCTCCTTGCTGGTTCCTGGGACCGCAGCCCCCTCGTGGGGCTGTGATCCACCTCTTCCCTTCAGCAATGGCGGTGCAGAATTAACGTCGGGTCTGTAATTTAGCTCAGGACTGTTATGAGACACAATCTAGCTCTAAAGCCAAGGCCAAATAGTACTAGCATGGGGTCAAGTTCCTGAGGCACACTCTGCCTTTGGGACTAATTTGGGTGCTGAGTAGCCGGGCAGGTATTTACATGTTGCCTACAGAGACCTAGAGGTCTCTGGATCCTATTCTTCTCCCTCGGATCACCTAAAATGGTAAGAATTTTCAAGGGGGATTAAGGTTGTGATCTCTGGGGAGGGGAGTGGACATCTGGTAGGAGTCCGTCCATATTAATAGCCTCCGTTTAAATGTATGTTATCAAACGGGGCAGCTCCTAATCAGCCAAGAGACTGTGAACTCTGTTACCTAAGGGGCTGCTGGTGACTTTGGACTGCTAATCATGGCTTTCCACAGGCACACAGGTAAAGTGGATGTGCTGCGGGAGAAGCCCTGTGTGTGCAATGCCTGGTGAATGGGAAGGAAGGTTTTGCTAACAGGCTCCTGCACCAGCAAAATAACTCTCTTGAATGCAATCTTAAGCCTCGGCAATCTGCAGCTATAACTAATGATGGCAAACGGGCTTATAACCAGTGTGGGGGACTGGCGCTGGGAGCGCGGTGGTGGCGGCGACCTCATCTATTTTGTAAAATGCATTGGATGGTAAGTGCTTTTGTATCCGCTGCTGTGGGAAGGCTGGGGCTCAGCTGTTATTTGAGGAAGACTAAGTGAAAATGGGGGATGACGCTCCTCCTTGCAGCAATCTTGCTATGGCAGTATCGCTGTGAGCAGGGGAAACCCATAGCAGAGGGGGGCGTGCAGAAGCCCAGCGTGTAAACCCAGGTGGTTTGCTCTGCTCTGGTGGGAGGTTTGTGGTTATTCCCTCTTCTCTGTGTTTGTCTTGTAGATCAAATGGGCTGACCCTCACCAGTAATAGGAAAATGTTAACTTTTCCTTCCCATTAACACTGACAGGAATCTTAAGAGTGTGTTTTGCACGTCCCCCATGCATGATGTGTTGTGTCTTCCCATCGGTGACTAATCTCTTCTAGTCCTCCAATTACAGACAATTTAAAGCTCTTCGGGATTTTTAAAAGCTTATCCGATTCTTAGAAGCTAACCATTTTTGTGTGTGTCCAGCATGTATTTACAGCCCTAAATCACAATGTACAGTGGCAGGGCCATTGCATCTCTTGATGAGACATAGCCTCAACAAGAGGGGTGGACATGCCTGGGGAGGGTGTCAAGTTTGGGGCACAGCTCCCGCGGGCATCAAACCGAGCTGCCGTGCACCAGGAGCCAGGGGACAGTGGTGCTCATGAGACTTGATTGGGAACATACAGCCTCTTCAAAACCGGGGAGGAGAGTCGCAGCATGCTGTTCAACTCAGTCTCCCAGGACAAGGCATGAGCATGAGGCTTCTTGCATGGCATGTAACTACTTAGGATTTGCTTGTGTGACACAGATATACATTATGCAAGGTGCCTTTCTGAGTAAAATCTGACTTTTGTGGTATCATTTTTAAACATCTCAGAGGTCTTTAAAAAGAGCGATCCATGCAATTAAAATACAGGACGACATTTATTTTTTAATTTCAGCCCACAAGACTGACCGATGTTGTAGCATCCTTTCATTATACTCCCAGCTGTATCTTTGTTTTCTTTCTCATCTTCCTTGGGGGGGATGTTCTCTGGGGCAAGGACGCATGGATTTGATGTTGTGCCGTAACATAAAATGCTGAAGTGTCTTCCGAGCAAATGCTGCAGTTAGTGCTGCCACCAACAAGTTACAGTGCAGTATCCGTACCCCACATGGAGCCCCGCTCCCCGGGACAGCTGCAGTGGGGTACTGTAGTGCCTGCGCCGGGGAGGTGAATCCTCCGCAGCAGGAGAAAGCCTCATGTTTGGCTTTTGGGGGCACCTGGGCATGAGAAAGGCATCCAGGTACTGAGGTGGGGGCAGATCCATGCATAGCTGAATTGAGGAGTCCCAAAAGTCAAAGCTTAAGGCAGCCACAGAGTGAGTTAGCTACGGAACAGGAATTTTTTGCTTTAGTTGATTTGGTTTTTTTGAAAGCTTTGAACTTCACTGCTTAAACTCTGCCTAAGTGCTCAGACTTACTCTAGGCAGTGGTGCTTTGCACATTGGGAGTCTTATTAGTCTTAGCTGAGCTCTGTATTAAGTGCAAAAGCAAGCCCTGGGGGAAGTGTTTGCAGGGCTGGAGCAGTGTGTTTTTTAATAGCATGTCCCTACTTCCCTGGGGAACTGTGAAGATTTAATAATGATTGGGATGTACTCAGACATGGTGGCAATAGGACCGTAGGGAATGTTTTTGGCAACTGCCTGAGGAACTTGGAGCTGTTCTTGTTCTAAATAAAGAAGCTTCCATTTTATCAACAGACTAATTTTTGAATTATAGAGTATGAGACTCGCACGTGCCCCAGCCTGGCAATGGGAGAGCACAGCTCTCCACTCGTTACTGCCAGCTCTCCCAGCAAAAATGACCTGCAAGTGACTTCTTTCTTTCCTTGTTGTCCAGGGCAGCGTGCCAGTGACCTTGAGGTGCAGTCCTGAGCGTCGCTTTGCATTTCGGATTAACAGCACCCTTCTTTTAAGGGTATTCCCTGGTATTTATAGCAAACCACGCGATATTGCATAGAGAAATGCTGAGAATAGTAACTCAGGTGATAGAGCAGGGGATGCCAGGTTCTGAGCTGAAATAGGCAGGTGTAGCCAATGCCTTGGCAGTACAGGGGCTGTGCGTACTCGGTCGGCTGAGAAAAATGAAACTGATGGAGAGTCAAAAAGCAATTGCTCTTTTCCTTCCATATTGCCATAGTGTATGCAGCTGTGTGTAGGGCAGAGGGTTAACACCTTCAGCCCTGTCTTCTTTCCGAAGTGGCACAATGGTCTGTAAGGTTTAAGTACAGTTTTCCTGGTTGTTTTTAGAGACCACACTTCAAGTTCTTCCTTGGTGGTTTATCACATTTAAACATATTCCCCAGCGACATTAACACATATCCTGTGCTAAGTGCTTTGCTTATCAGCTCTGCTTCAGCTCCCTTTGCAGAGTGCTTCGGTTTCATTTGTTGTGCAAACCACTGGAATGCTGCGTTGTGGTCGCCTGAACTGGGAGGACCCAGCCCAGGGGCCATGGGAGGCAGGAACCAACAGGAGAGGCATGGAGTTGTGTTAATGCAATAGCTTTTGTGGGGTGGCACTTCTTAGGTCTGTACCCTCCTTTCCATCCCACAGCTTGCCATGCAGCAAGGTGCAGACATAGCCCTGATTGTGACCGCTAGCTGGGACAGCCCTGTGACTGCTCCACAGCATGGTGTCAGCATGACTTGAGGTGTGCGGAACCTGGCAGAGCCCAAACACTTGAGATCTTTATTTGAAAGATGGAAGACATGGTTGTCCAAGGGCTGAGGGGCTGCTTTTGAAAAGCAGCAGATGCTCTTTGGGGACAAGTAGCTAACTGGCACCTCTGTGGTCAGGTAAATGTTAGGGTTGAATTCCAGTGGGTCTTCGTGCCAAATACCCTGATACTCGAGAAGGCCACTGGTCTGGCCAGCCGCCCTTAAGCTGTAGCCAAATCCATCAGGGAGCTACATTTAGACAGCACCCTGCCAGGGTTGGTGGGAGAGGGACACCTTGCTTAAAGGGGGGTTAGTTTCTGGAAGTATTGCTGGATTTTTCTTGAGCTCTTAATTTATTGAGGGTTCTCTAGGCTATTTAAGGAGGGCATGCACTGCACTTACCCCTCTCCCCGGCAGCCTGCGCTCTCTCTTCTCACCTGCTTCTCTCCAGCAGAACATCTTCTGCGCATGGACGTCAGCCTGGGCTGGAGAATGGTTCCAGTCTGTCCGTACTTCTCCTCTGTCTTTTAAATCCCCCTCTGTGGCCCCAGAGTCAAGCTGGGGTTTGGATCAGTGCACATCCTCGGGGTACATGATTCTCCCGAGATCAAACGGGAGACACTTGACCAGGCTGTCAGCTCAAAGACACTGCAGTCTGTTGTAAACGTACAGCCAAAGAAACTGTGTTCAAATAACATCCAAGCTAAAACACCTGTGTGTACTGCTGTTGTTTTAAGCACACCACTGTGAAATGAAGCACAAAGGTGCAGCACTTAACAGTTTTAGTGGTTAGTTTGATGAGTGCTTACCCTGAGCACCCAGTTTTGCATCGCTGTAGCATGGTTATGCCACTGCTGTGAATCCCTACTGTGTGCTCAACAGCTGCTGCACAGCTTGCACAGGGAAGCTATGCAGCATGCACTAAAATAAAGGCCCCAAGGAAGAGCGAGGGCTATTCATGGTTCCAGTGTGACCTTAGTTTCATGACTTGCCTATTTTCCAGACAGCAAAGACAGGCCACGGTTAATACATCTGATAGCTCTGGAAAGTTAAGCTGTGGGGACATGGTGCAGCTGGAGGGTGAACAGGTTATTAAGGAGATAAACATCTCCAAAACTGTGATCTGCTGCCAACCAGGCTCTAGAAGATGTATTTTTTCTTTTTCAGAGAGAAGCAAGTATCTGTTCTGTCTACCTTCTGTGAGAGGGGACAGGACAGCTTAGGGCAGCAGTAGTAGGACACGAAATGCTTTTTCCCCAGGGCAACAGAGCTCTTAAGTCTCCATGGACATTTGCTCTGGGAAAATGATCTGGTGGTCCCAGCACAGCCACTACCGGCTACTTTCAGGGCTCTTGTGCACCAGCCCCTGGGTGGGCTGCTCCCGTGGAAGGGTTGTAGGAGGTGCTCTGGCTGACGTGGGCTCTCAGCATGGCATGGGTGAGCAGAGACCACGAGCAGCCAGCACATTTGCTGGGACAATGCGGTCAGTGCATCTTCATTGCAGGCAAGGGGATAGAGGTGCCTTTCCCGGGTCTAGATGAGGGATGATACTGGTGAGGGCAGAGAGCTCCTGGAAAAGCTGGAAGCAAATTCATGCCCTGGCCTATGTATGACAGGGTTTTTTTGGTCCATGAGATAGCACAAGGTAGGCAGAAGCTGGCACATCTGCGTGTACAGCCCAGCTCCTGGGGTTGCGAGGCCCAGTGTTAATTGTCCGCGGAGCTCCAAAGCTGCTGTGATAAATGTGTGTCTCATGTTAGTGCATGATGCATTACATGGGAACACAGGATTATATTACTCCTTGAGCCATATGTTCACGATTACGTGTTCTGGTTGAAAGCAACTCTAAACCTGAGATCAGGAACATTTTGATACCATTTGCCCTGGACTCTGTGTAATTGCATTTCTTCTAAATTAAACTCGCTTGATAAAGCTCTGCAGAGCTGGCCATGCCTCACATAGTTTCCACATTTCCCAGGTGTTTATTTGTTTCATTTACTTGAACCGGTACAAACACAACCCTTGGTGTAGTTGTCTGCAGGACATGGCCATCTCCTGACCTTGGCAAGGCAGCGTTTCCAGACCTCGGTCCCCATAGAGTGTAATTCCTGTCAGCTCGGCCTCCAGCCTGCTTCTGTAATTTTTAGGGGAAGGGGAAGGGTGTGAACCTGGTCCCCACCTCTGCTGCAGCCTCCCTGTGCGATGCTCCTCTCCAGGACTATCTGTCCTGCTTTCTGGAAGAGAAATGCTCCAACTTGTTCTGGCCTGATGTTATTGAAAGGGTGACAAAGAGGAAACAGTGAGATGACTCTTGGATTTTAAAATCTGCAAAGTAACAGTGTGAGTCCCATCTCCTGCTCCAGCATCTTCCACTGCCCGTCCAGCAGCTTCCTGAGCCCAGAGATGAGGCAGAAGAAGAGCTCTGAAATAACGGCAAAACGTTCATTTGCGGGCAGGCACCTCCCTGGGCTTTGCACCTGGCTGTGTCAGGGCTGCTCGTGGTGTGCTGCCAACAGCACGTTACTCTCAAAGAAAAAAAAAATTGGTTTGGCAAAGGAGATGGTGCGGTGCCTGGGCTTGCCGAGCAGGGCTGTGCCCTGGTCAGGACCTACCGGGTTTGATGTGTGCTCGTCTGGCGAGGTGCACTTGCACTTGTGCCTCTGCTGCACAGCTCTGCTCCTCACGAAGGCGGCAGCAATGATCCCTCGGCCCCGGGGGGCTCCTGTGCCAGTGTGGGGATTTCTGATGCTGACAGGTTGGGCCATGCAGTTGATGGTAAATCTAGAATTACTGGAGTGGGCAAGCATCCAAGAAAAAGCTGGGTAAACAGGTCCTCATGCCGTAACAACACAGCAGTCCTGACTGCGCAGCATCCTGCAGCCGAGGGTGAGCCCAGTGTGGTTCCACTGACCCTCCCTTGCCGTGAGGGCACAGCCAGGAATGAGATACCCTCTCTACACCCCAAAAACCCCAAGCCCTGTTTCAGTTTATAAAGGTTCTGTGCAGGGGCTTGGAGCAGCATGGCTGGAACGAGCGGCCGTTGTGCCGCTGAGCTCCATCAGGAGCAGGCAGCAAAGCAGCCCCTAAACTCCAGGGCTTGGTGGGGTGGTCTGAGGTGAGGCTATGTGATGGAGGTGCTAGCGGCCTCCCCCGCCTCGCAGCTGGAAGCAGCAGCCTGACCGCGTCATTCTCCCTTTCTTGCTCTGTGCTGGCGCTGCAGCTCCATCAGGAAAAGAATAATTAAATTTCCTCTTGGCAGCCCCGGTTGCCAGACGGCTGCCGCCGCTCCCAATGCTGATGGTGCAGAAAGTTCAAGGCTGCGTCCTGGGTTGTTGGCTGTGCAGGGGAAACGGGGCTCTGCCGTGCTGGGGGCTGCGGGGGCATGAGCGGCAGGGGCAGAGATGGAGCTGCGCTGCTGGGACTGCACGGGCTTGCATAACCCTGCCGGAGCCTTTGCAGCCCCCTCACAGGAGCGTTGCTGGCTTCCTCTGAGGAAGGGCGGAAGGAGCCATCAGAAGTGGTCTGAGAGGCCGAGACCGGGCACGTAGGCCGGGGTGGGTGTCTGGGGAGAAAGCGTGAGCGTGCAGCTCCGGCCAAAGTGGAAAATCCTCTGGTCAAGAGCCCCCACACCCGCTGATGTGCTGGCTCCCTGGCCATGGTGGAACATCATGCCTTGGCAGAGCCCTGCTGCCATGAACGGAAGAAGCATCTTTACATGCAGGGTGATCTTTTCTTGTTTTTTCCTTATGACTTTGTATGTGAAAGCCTGGTGAAAAGAGGCAGCTGGAAGCTGCACAACTATCTGGCACAAAAGGCCTCAGAGGGCTGCAGCTGGCTGCGGGCTTAGGCTGGAAACATGGAAACTATTCTGCTCTGCTAGTGGTTGGCGGTGATTTCTGCGCACAAATTATGCGGCGCCTCAGCCAGGACCTGCAGTGGGCCTGGCCGAAATGAACTAAGTGGCTCTCAGTGAGTGATTAGGTATCATTATCCTTGCTTGACGTGAAATATGTAAATAAAACAGTCTAGTATCCTTCCTCTTAAGAAGGTGAAGGAGAAAGGCTGGTGTGGGACTCTGCTCTCCTCGCCCGCAGCTGTGCTCCCAGGGCGAGCAAACTGCAGCGCTGCGCTCACGGCGGGTTGGAGCCCGGGAGGCAGAGAGCTGTGTTTTCGTGTCTGGCCAGAGCCCATCCTGCCTCTCTGTAGACAGAAATCTAGCATTTGTATCTTGGATGGGTGTTAAGGGAACTGAAAATATTTGTGTTACTAATGCATTGCTTATGCTAACTTAGGGGCAAGCACAGCGCTTCCAGGAGGCAGGGCGGCCCCTGCCCTTGCTGAGCTCCACGGCGCAGCCAGGAGTTGGTCCACACGGCCTTACTCTGTAGCCCGTGTTTTTCTGAGATTTCGTGGTATTTCTCTCTCTGTGTCCTAATGGCAATTCACGACCTGGGAGGGGACATCCAAGCTGCCTTCTTTAGCAGGTGTACAAGTTTGTGATTGCTGCGACCGAACCCAGGTTGTCTTCTGCACCAGCCTCCCTGAGCGTGATGGTTCATTAGCCTAACCTAGACCCTAAAGGCGAAGCTGGAGGCACCTGGAAAATGCCACTGCAGTTGGTAGAGAGCTGTCGTGTTTTATAAACCACTGAGCTGTCCGAGAGCAAAATTGCCCGAACAGTGCTGGCACAGAAGCTGCTTTCTCTACCAACAAGCCCTCGAGGAGTGCGACACCACCACATGCTCATTGCTGAGTCATCTTCCTGATACTTATTTGCACAGACTGAAGAAGCTGGAGCAGCTATCAGGGCTTCAGTGCTCTAACTTCACCCTCTTTCCTCTTGCAGGGCCTGGCAGTTACACTGTGGGCACCATGTCGGAGCGCTTTGACTGCCACTACTGCCGTGACCCTCTGCAAGGGAAGAAGTACGTGCAGAAGGAGGGCCGCCACTGCTGCGTCAAGTGCTTTGAGAAGTTCTGTGCCAACACCTGCACTGAGTGCAAGAAACCCATTGGAGCGGACTCCAAGGTGAGTGCTGAGCAGTTAAATGGATGATAAGAAGACAAGCAGATGCTGATAACCCTCCCATTTGTTTTCCTGCCTCTGGTCTGTTTGTGAGCTTCTGTGTGAAAACGAGTTCTCTTGTAAGTCCTCTGGCTGAAGGGCCATGTGCTCCTTGGGCAAAGAGCCAGAGGCCCTGGGGTACTGCAGTAGGGATGCTCATGATGGGCTGCTTTTGCACAGGAGCCAATTTCAGGATCTAGATTCAGCCACATGAACTGCTGCAAATGCTTAATTGTCCTGAAGAGAGTACCGCAAGTAATCCAGCCTGCACAGGGCTTGCAGAAAACTCATCTTCTGGGCAAAGCACTCAGGAACCTAGGGTCTGATTTTTGTCAGTTTATCAAATGTTTATTGTTTCATGTTTATGGCAATAATAACATACACCTGAACTAGAGTGAACTTGACAAGCAGAGAAGCCCACACTTACGGAAATTCAAATCTCGAAGTTGTTGATTTGAAGCATCTTCTGCTACCCTGAAAGTCCAAAGTGAATGTGATTGTGTCAGTGAGTTTGATTAAATGTCCTTCCCTCAACTGCTTGCAGATGAGCTGCACCTCCAACCACTGAGTGCAGACATGCTTAGGAATTAAGGAATCTATCCTTTACTGCCAAGGCTGATGAGACAGTAGCTTGGTTTTAGGGCTGCCCAGCAAGAGAGAAGGGCTTATTGCTCACTCCATTTCTGTTCGTTCCAGGAGTTGCATTTCAAGAACCGTTACTGGCATGACAACTGCTTCCGCTGCTTCAAGTGCTATACGTCCTTGGTCAATGAGCCCTTCATGCTAAGGGAGAACAACAAGGTTTGGTGTAGCAACTGCACTGCCACTGAGGATGCACCCAGGTGTAAGGGCTGCTTCAAGCCTATTGTTGCAGGTACTGGTGCCAGTGATAGTTGTAGATAGTACAACTGCCAAGTTCTGCTCTAAGGCAAAAACCACAGCGGTTTATCAAGCTGTGGAGGCTGCAGTTAGGGGCATAGGCATCACAGTGGAAGGCTGGAGCACCACAAAACGGTGCAGGTTTTGACTGTTGTTCTTACCTGTTCATTTTATTCAAGTGTTGAAAGGCTGCTTTGCAGTTAACCCTCATGCGGATAGTTCACCCTAGTAGTTAGTGTTAAACCATTTCTACCAAAAGCTTTGCTCTGTAAATCACGGTCCTCTTCTCAGAAAGGCTCAGGCACCTGTCCGACAAATATTTTAAGAAAATCTAGAAGGCCCTGGCTAAAGTCAGATACAGAAATTAACAGCTCATCCCTTGTCCATGTTACAATTGAATCCTGGGCATAGGTATGGACAGGTCTTGCCTAAAGGTATATTGCATTGCACAGGGTGGGGAATTTGTCACAAACCTGAAATCCCACATAACAAGTTATTTCTGTCTGTTGTAGGAGACCAAAATGTTGAGTACAAGAAGATGGTCTGGCATAAGGACTGTTTCACTTGCAGCCAGTGCAAGCAAGTGATTGGATCGGGAAGCTTTTTCCCCAAGGGTGATGACTTCTACTGTGTCTCCTGCCATGAGCATAAGTTTGCCAAGACCTGTGCTAAATGCAAGAATGTAAGTCCTTCCACTTTGCAAAGGCAGCTGCCAGAACTAGCCCTCACATGTCTTTTGGAAGCTAGGAGAGTAAACCAGTAGACAGATCACACTGAAGTTGTACCAATGCTTATGTTCTTTTCTTGAGATACTGGTGCAAGCAGCTGGTGGTTTAATAATGTGAGAGGTAATAGTTCTTGCACATTACAGTATCTGAGCAGGGGGTGTAGGGTTATCTGATGGCAACTCTGCTGAAACCAAGCAGGCACCAGCCTTGCACTTTGCTTTGGGGATGCTTTAAGCTCTCTAGTAGGTATTGTGTATTCAAGCAGTAAAACAATGTTTTATAAAACAGCTGTCATGCAACTTTTGCAACTGATTAGTGTAGGACAGCAGGTAAAATAAACTATTAGGAAAGCTGCAGGCATGCAGGATTTCAGGCTAGCGGAACTCAAGTGCTGCACCATTTTAATGAAAACTACACTGCATGCCTGCATCACCTCTCTTCCTCGCTACTGATCCTGAAACATCTCTGCTCTTTGCCTCCTAGCCCATCACTTCTGGAGGCCTCACTTACCAGGAACAGCCTTGGCATTCAGAGTGTTTCATTTGCTCCAACTGCAAGAAGCAACTGGGTGGGAAGCGCTTCACAGCTGTAGAGGATCAGTTTTACTGTGTTGAATGCTACAAGGAGTGTGTTGCCAAGAAGTGTGCTGGCTGCAAGAATCCTATTACAGGTATGTTGGATTAAATGCAGCTTGAGGGCAGTGGGTGCTTAAGGTCAGAACAGCGATCCCCAAAGACATGCAGCTCAGAGGCTGCTAACACCAGAAGCAGGTCTAGTATCCCAAGCCCAATCCCAGCAATATACATGTGGTCTAACTATAAGTGACATGCTTTTGCTGGATGGAGTCCGAGTTAGTAACACGGAGCTCTTTACCCTTTGCACGCCTCAAATTTACCTCCTTCAAAACTTCCCAACTAGAACTGTTCTTCACCTGTATCTTAGTCTGGGAACCTTAAGTCTAAAAACAGTCGTGTTTTATTGCCCCAAAGTGACAATTGCTTTGCTTCTGATGTATTTCACACGTCACAGTTACTGGATCACAAAGCTCAGCCCTGAAATGTGGGCACTATCCTGCCAGTCCCATGAGATGTGCATGCCATTCTGCATTTTAACGCATGGATCTAGGCCCATAACAACCAGGTAGGGTGTTTAGCCCAACCTGTCCTTGCTCTACATCTTGATCTTTCCTTCAGCTTGACTGTTTCCCAGAGAAAGGATCCAAGGGAAAAAGCTTATTGCACAGGCAAGCCACACAAGCCTACGCTAAGCTGCCTGTTCTCCAAAACCAGTAATACTGAGCAGCAAACAATGTGGTTCAGTTGCAATTTTGGCTAGTATTTTAGGCATACTAATATGGTCTGCCAGACTACAGAAGCACAGGAGGCAGTAAGAAGGGGATCTGCTGTTTGGTGGGCTAACCCAGCCAAAGGAAAAGCTACTATCGCCGTCCTATAATTGTTTTCTCTCCTAGCAGGATTTGGAAGAGGAACCAGTGTGGTTAACTACGAAGATGAATCCTGGCACGATTATTGTTTCAAATGCACAAAGTGTGCCCGTGGTCTGGCCAACAAGCGCTTTGTTTGCCATAATGGAAAAATTTACTGTGCTGAGTGTCCCAAACGACTGTAAGGAGCAGACAGCAACTGCTGTAAAATGGATTTTAGAGCCCTGCTTTCCAAAACAGTCCTGGTAAAGGAGCAGGTTTTTGCATGTTAAGAATTTTAACTCTTTCCATTTTAGTATAAAAACTAAAGTAGCCTCAGTGTACTGGGTTTGACTTTTGAAGCTCCTGCAGTACAAAAGCATGTGGTGTTGCAAAAATCTAACTTTGCTTCCAAGTAACTCTTAGTGTAAAGGCCTGAAATGCTGTTAGATTTAGCATTAGAGATCCATATATGACATAATCTGCGTGTGGCTTAAACTAAAACAAAACTAGTTTTAAACTTGTCTGGTATACATTTAAGCTTGGCACCTAAATGAAGTAGGTTTGACAATGCATGCACCTCTGAAACAGAGATGCAAAGATTGCACTCGGGATCAGAGAGATCCATTATTATGCTTTTACAAGTACAGGTACATTACATACATCACACCATTAATAGCAGCTCAATAATAAATACCCTATCTTACCCTTCCACACAAAATTGCAGCCAGCGTATGGAATGGCTTCATCTTACATATAACAATGTTTTGGCAGTATGATTTAGCTTTAGTTAAGTTTCCATAAACTTGTTTTAGTCTTGATTTCCGCATGGTTTGCCCAAAAGTTTTGCTCATCAGCTTTTTTTACATCATCATTTAAATGAGCCTGTCTATATAGAATTATTAATCCATTAACAAGAAGTAAATCTTTCAACTACAACAAAATGCACATGCATTTAGAAGTGCCTTAAAAATAGCTCAGACAACACTAGCTCTCCTATCATGTCAGTGTATGTTTTATGATTTAATAAAAATGAAACTAGTGCCTGCTTGGAGTCCTACATTCTGGAAAATTGTTTTTTCATTTTGCCATCTTACATGATTGACACCTCTTATGGCTGAGCTACTGAAATCAAGTCTGATACATTGATAGCGGCAAAGTAAAGAGTCAGCTGTTCTACCATAGCACCCTTAAGTATCTGAGGACCAAAGCAACAATTTCCATAAACTAATTCATTTTTTTAATGTATAACTGACACTGGACCATCTGCCAAGAACAGCCTGTGTGAAAAAGCCCTTTGGAGAACATATGTGTAGCCACTGTCCATACACAGATCTACTACTACCCTTCAGCAACCTGAATGCTGGTTTAAGTTTTTTTTCACAGCAGTGGTTGATACCATGCAGAAGTATTTACCAACTGGATGCTGCTCTAGTCATTCCCTTTTGTTCACAAGCACTCACCAGAAACAAAGAACCCTTGCAAGAAAAACAAAAGGCAGCATCTTGCTGTATTCTTGACGGTCACTGCTCCACTGTGCCATGGAGCACTGTTAGACTTGCTGTTAGAACATAAAGATGCTCGTGCTACAAGTAAAAAGCAAAGGCTTACAGTGAAAAGCAAGTTAAAGAATTCAACAGTTATGAACATGTCATCGGCATGTGCAAACACAGCAAGATCTGAAAGTGTTAGTTCAAATACCTTCCCAACCACGCAAATGCAATTGCCGAAGAGGCTCCTAGTTTTGGGAACCTGCAGTGGGGAGCAGTTAGAGCAGTACCAGAGCACATCTCAAACCAGGTCAGCATGGCAAGGGGCTGGAGACTCCTAGTAAGGTAATGTTAGCATTACAGAAATAAAGCATTGTTCAACTGCAAAGTTTATTTAACAGTGTGCACATATTTACATAAAGCTGTAACAGACCATTCAACAAATAATATCAGCACAGAAAAAATATCGGTATCTTTTTTGTTAGAATGATTGTCTCTGCCAGAAGGAAACAGCTATCATACAAAAATACATTTTTCTTTTTACCTAAGGCACTGCTCTAAAGTCTAAAACAGTTCTACCGTATTCTGAATAGCAAACGGTGAGAGCTAGAAGGCTGAGCGTTTCCTATTGTAACTGCGATGTTGAGGAAAGAACTCGTTTAGTTCCAACAAAACCATTTGCATTTAACCACTGAAAACACAGCTGCCATTTAGATGATTCCTTGGAATTGAAGTATCAGCCAATGGTTTATAGCAGGACTTGAGACAGCTATCCTTTACAGTAATCACTTATCCAGTATATGTTACAGGAGACATAAGAACAAGACTGCATTATTACTTTTAGTAGCAATTTTCAGAAGATGCTTAGTTAATCTCTTCATGCTGTAAAAAGCAGGCAAGTTTAGGTTAAATAGATTACTTAATGCAGGCTTTAGGGGAAGGGAAATATATAATGCAGCTTGCAGCCACGGTTATAAAGCTAGAACAGGAACACTTAGAATAATTAACATGAACAAAACATGACTTCAATGATCTAATACTGTTATGTACACAATAAAATAATACTTCCATGAGTGTAGATAAACTTAAATAAGTAATTCAAAAGGAAAACGTTTTTAAAAGCATGACATGTTAAACCGCACGACAGGCATATCTAGGTACTCAACGTTTTTGTAATATATTAGTGCATATGCTGTAAAACGTTTTGATGTTTTCCAACAGATTAAAACATATTAGCGATGGTACAATACCACATTTTGAAACTGCCAATATTTTCACGTTAGAAAATAAGAAATTTTTCTTCTCCATTCAAAATTGAAGATACTCAATTTTGCGTTTTTAAATAGTGTGTGAACCAACAAGTAACAGCGTTTTTCTAGAACATTACAAAGGGAGTTCAGCTTTAACACACACTGAATGAGTCTTTTATTTCATCAAGTGCCATTCTAGGAATATCAGAATCTGGCCAGTAGCTAACTGGGGACCCTCCAGTGGCACATTGCTGTACATGATACCGATATGAAAACAAAAGAAAAAAAAAAAAAGACTCAAACAGGTTCTGTAAAGTCTGTAAAAGGGAAACAAGTGATACTTAAACAAGGCAATCTTATCTAGCAATTAGCTAAACGAATGGAAAAGGAGCATCAGCACAATAGTTTCCCTGAAATGTTTCAAGGTGCAAATCTAGAAGTTTGTCATCCCTCTCCTGGTGTTTTTTGGTTTTTTTTGCAAACTTGAAGATGGATAAAGGTAAACAAGCAGCTTTTCAAAACAAGGCCTTCGGGTACTTGATAAAACACTGGATAACTGAAGTGCAATCAGATTATTTCCAGGTCTCTAGTGTTCACAGTTCTGTCCAAAGAGCAAAGAGAAGAAAACATTTAACCATCATAACTGTGTGTATGCCACATAAGTCTATCATCACTGTCAGAGCCTACATCCAGGGAGTGAGCACAGAACCACTTGGTTACTTACAGTCCAAAATCAGCGCAGTAGATTTTCTTTTTTTACATGTGAATATTGGTTTTCAAAGTTACGTACATAATTCTTAAACCATATTATGTCTAAACATTTTCAAGTTCAAAATTAAAAGGCAACCCTTTCTTCACTAAAAAGTTAATGATTTTGATCAAAACAAAATGTGATCAGCAGTATCACATTAAATCCATCTCTTCCCATGGCCCAGTTAGTCATGGCCTCAAGGAAAGTCTCAATAAGACTATGTCCATGGGACTAAAATTCACAAGACGCAGTGTGACAGAGGAGACTCAGGAAACAGTTCAGTCTAGAAAAGTGCTACACTTTAATCAAAAAAAGTGCTACACATCACTTAAAGAAAATGTGGATAGCAAGTCTTGTTTTTTCTACTACCATTCATTTCAACTGTTCACACAGTCATTTATCTCACGGAAAGAGATCTGCTGTGAGTGTGTCCATTTGGGGTTTAGCTCCAACACCAGAGAAGTTCAGTCTCACATAAACTAGCTTACTGAAGCCTCTCTGATACGCTATGCCGTACTGCATCAGGGTTTGGCTTCTCAAGTACATGTGGCTTCAGATGCAGCCCTGCTTCTTTCAGAAAATTCAGAATATTGTGTGTGCAGCTTTATTACTCCTCCCAAATGTGACACAACCACCTGTGGAATTTAACATTGGTTTTACCCCCCTCAGTGAAGTGAAAGACTATTCTACAGTAAGTAGAGAGGACAGCTAATACCTTGCTAGAGCCTGAGGAGACCTTTTAAGACCACGCAGGTCAGCATCAAAAAGTTACAGAACACGCCTAGGAGTGGAAAGGTCTTGTCTGTAGAGTTACATCAGACACCTTTAAAACTGTTAGTATCTTCAAAAGTAACATACGCCATTTAAGATATCTTAGAAGAAGCTTAAAGGAGCTTAAAATACAACATGGGCTTGAGTGCTGGTAGGAGCTCACAGGAGCTCAGCTGTGTCTTTGGAAAAGCCTTAATGTCGTGCCTTAGCTGCTGTCTAGAGCAAGTCCCTAAAAAGGCATCAGTTGATGACTCCTTTTGACAGAATGCAAGCTACAAGCACTAAAGAAAGAGCTTTCCCTCCGGTCTACACATTGGAAAAAGTGCCTTGAAAATAAGAAGCTGTAGTTAAGGCAAGGAGAGTAAAATGCAAGGAAGTCAACTGCCTAGCCAGAGGAAGAGACAGATAGGGAAATCAGCTTGGATTACCTGATGAAGCATCTATACGTTTGGTCAATGAATTCACTGCACCATCTTCCTCAAAAGCCAATTTGGGACTAGAAGGTGTTGTAGCAGCATCATTCAAGTTTTGATTACAGTTACCAGCAGAGATGCTGTCCGAGCTAAGTTTGGTTGACTTGGAATGTACTCCAATGTCAATAAACTCCTCAAAAGTCCACGAACCAGATTTTCCATTAAGATTCTGAGTAAGTCCAATTGTATGATCAGCTTCATTAACACCCAACTTCACTGAGTCATCAATAACCATTTCTTTTGCAGGATGGCTACAAAAAAGAGAATGGATACTTGTATTACAATTTCTGCATGTTTAACCTTCAGATTGATTACAGGCCAGCCAATTAGCAGTCTGCATACTTTGCAAAGCAGTGAATATCCTGAAGGGCTCTCCCAGACAAGCTCCTCCAGCTGCCACGCAGGATCTCCCCTCCAAGAGCCAATGGGGAAGAAGGACTCACCAACATATAGCCACTTTTTACTATACTAATAGCTCTCAGGTAAGGTCTGGCTCCAGATA